AGTCTCGACCAGAACTGGCTTCTGAGGGCCTGGGATCGGCCACTCACGGCTCCCAGTCTGACCTCCGACGCATCGTGGAGCTGCCTGCACCTGCCGACTTCCTCAGTCTGAGCAGTGAGACCAAGCCCAAGCTGATGACACCTGACGCCTTCATGACACCTAGCACCTCCCTGCAGCAGGTATGCTGCGGGCAGAGTGTGGGGCACAGGGAGGGAGGCCCTGGGAGTGCCCCCCACAGCCACAGCCCTCGTTCTCCACATCTCCCCAGATCGCTGCATCTCCCAGTAGCAGCAGCAGCAGCAGCAGCAGTTCCTCTCTTACGGCGGTGTCTGCCATGAGCAGTACTTCGGCCGTGGACCCCTCCTTGCCCAGGTGAAATGAGGGTCAAAGTTAGGGCGTGTCAGGGGCTGGTGCCAGGTGATGCCAGGCTCTGGCTGCTTACACTTCATCCTTCCTGCCAGCAGGCCACCTGAGGAGCTGACCTTGAGCCCCAAGCTACAGCTGGATGGCGGTCTGACAATAAGCAGCAGTAGCAGCCTGCAGGCAAGCCCACGTAGCCTCCTGCCTGGCCTGCTCCCAAGTCCGGCCGACAAATTGCCTCCCAAAGGGCCTGGGCAGGTGCGTATGTGGGTGTGTGTGAAGTGCAGTATAGAAGGTATATGGGAGTGGGAAGCCTGGCGGCAGTCTCCTCCCACAGCACCCTGTCTTCTGGTCCTGCTCTTCCTCAGGTGGTCCATGTTTCCCCTGAGGGTATCTCAGCCCCCGGTGTCCTTGGAGGGCAGATCCTCAGCCTTTCCATCCCCACCTCCTCTCCTCCTGGGCTGTGGCCATTTTTGACCTTCCTCCCCCTTCCCTGTTGTCCCATCTCTCATCACTACACACACCAGTGCTTCGTCTCTGTACTCCTTTTACTCCTACTTCCCACCACCTAAGTTCCCACCTTTGGCCTACCTCAGGTGCCTACTGCTGCCTCTACACTATCCCTGGAGCTGCAGGAAGTGGAGCCCCTGGGGCTACCCCAGGCGTCCCCCAGCCGTACCCGCTCCCCCGATGTTATCTCCTCGGCTTCCACTGCCCTGTCCCAGGATATCCCTGAGATCGCATCTGAGGCGCTGTCCCGTGGCTTTGGCTCCTCCGCTCCGGAGGGCCTGGAGCCAGACAGTATGGCCTCAGCTGCTTCAGCACTACACCTGCTGTCTCCACGGCCCCGGCCGGGACCCGAGCTTGGCCCCCAGCTTAGCCTGGATGGAGGCCCTGGGGATGGGGATCGGCATAGTACCCCTTCCCTCCTGGAGGCAGCCTTGACCCAGGAGGCCACGGCCCCTGACAGTCAGGTCTGGCCTACGGCACCAGACATTACTCGTGAGACCTGCAGCAGCCTGGCAGAGAGGTGAGGAGCTTAGGAGTGGGAAATGTGCTGATGGTAGGGGCTTCAGATAGAGTCATCCACTGCTGAGTTGGCCTGTCCCCCCAGCCCCCGGAATGGCCTCCAGGAAAAGCACAAGAGCCTGGCCTTTCACCGACCACCTTATCACCTGCTACAGCAACACGACAGTCAGGACGCCAGTGCCGAGCAAAGGTAGGCACCACCCCGCACCGTTCCTCTCACAGGGAGGGCCAACAAGTGGGTAGGTGCCTATTTCTCTCCCTGCCCTTCCCACAGCGACCATGATGATGAGGTGGCCAGCCTGGCCTCTGCTGCAGGGGGTTTTGGCACCAAAGTTCCCACTCCACGTCTTCCTGCCAAGGACTGGAAGACCAAAGGATCCCCTCGGGCCTCACCCAAGCTCAAGCGAAAGGGCAAAAAGGATGACGGGTAGGACGGGTCCTGGGGCCAGGGGGAGGGGTGGTCTTCAGTCTGCCTGCTTGACATGGCCTGAGGTGCTTCTCCTCTGTGGCAGGGATTCGTCCATGGGATCCCGGCTCACAGAGCACCAGGTGAGCGAGCAAACACCCTTTCTGCTTCTGGGACTCCTGCCTGTGGGGGTGGGGTAGGGTCCAAGCCTTCCCCTGGTCTGGTGTGTGGGGTTGGGCGGGGCGGGCTTCATGTGACTGTTGGTGTTCCTGGCAGGTGGCAGAGGCCCCTGAGGACTGGCCAGCACTAATTTGGCAACAGCAGAGAGAGCTGGCGCAGCTTCGACACAGCCAAGAAGAGCTGCTACAGCGTCTGTGCACCCAACTTGAAGGCCTGCAGAGCACCGTCACGGGCCACGTAGAACGTGCCCTAGAGTCACGGCACGAGCAGGAGCGTATCCTTGTGGGCAGTGGCACAGCATGGGGCGGCAGCAGCATTCTTGGCCCAGGAAGGGATATGGGACCTGCTGCAGCCCTGTTCCTTAGCTACAATGCAGAGCGGCGACTGGAGCGGGCACTGGCCGAGGGACAGCAGCGTGGTGGGCAGCTGCAGGAGCAGCTGACGCAACAGCTGTCCCAAGCGCTATCTTCAGCTGTGGCTGGGCGGCTGGAGCGCAGCATACGGGATGAGATCAAGAAGACGGTTCCTCCATGTGAGTTTTGCATGGAGACTTCTGGGTGGGCCAGATGGGAGTGGGGCCCCCTACCTGTCAAGCTTCTTCTCATGGCTCTACCTTTCCCTCCTCACCCTGTCCCAGGTGTGTCTAGGAGTCTGGAGCCCGTGGCAGGCCAACTGAGCAACTCAGTGGCCACCAAGCTCACAGCCGTGGAGGGTAGCATGAAAGAGAATATCTCCAAGCTGCTGAAGTCCAAGGTGCTATGGGACCCAAGGTGAGGGAGGTTGGTGGTTGGTGGGCTTGGGCTCAGCTTTCAACTCAGGCCCCTTCTTCCACCCCAGAACTTAACAGATGCCATTGCCCGAGCAGCCGCAGACACGTTACAGGGGCCAATGCAGGCCGCCTACCGTGAAGCCTTCCAGAGCGTGGTACTGCCCGCCTTTGAGAAGAGCTGCCAGGCCATGTTCCAGCAGATCAATGATAGCTTCCGACTGGGCACGCAGGAATGTGAGTAGGGTCATATGCCCCAAGAAGGGAAGGGCTATCGTCTTCTCCCTACCATCCCTCTCATGGCCCCCATGGTCACTTCTCAGACTTGCAGCAGCTGGAGAGCCACATGAAGAGCCGAAAGGCACGAGAACAGGAGGCGCGGGAGCCCATGCTGGCCCAGCTGCGGGGCCTGGTCAGCACGCTGCAGGGAGCCACGGAGCAGATGGCGGCTACCGTGTCCAGCAGTGTTCGGGCTGAGGTGCAGCACCAGCTGCACGTGGCTGTGGGCAGGTGTGTGGGCAGGGCACTGAGCAAGGTGGTGTGTTTGGAAAGGGCCAGACCCAACTGCCTGTCAGCCTCATCTCCCTCACTTGCCTTTGCAGCCTGCAAGAGGCAATTTTAGCACAGGTGCAGCGCATTGTTAAGGGTGAGGTGAGTGTGGCACTCAAGGAGCAGCAGGCTGCCGTCACCTCTAGCATCATGCAGGCCATGCGCTCAGCTGCTGGCACACCTGTCCCTACCACCCACCTCGACTGCCAAGCCCAGCAAGCCCATATCCTGCAGCTGCTGCAGCAGGGCCACCTCAACCAGGCCTTCCAGCAGGTAAGCCGGGCACTAAGCCCAGATAGAGTCAGGAGTCTCCTGACAAGGCTCACACATCATACATTCCACTCTACCCATCATGCTTTGGGTGGTCTGGCCTCAGCAGACTCTTTTTGGTTCTCTTTGGCCTCCAGGGCATTTCCCTTGCTCTTCCCTCTGTCTGGACCCTGGATCCCTTTCTTCCTACCTCAGTCTACCTTGTTTCAGAACCACCCTTCTCAGGAAAACTTTCCTGATTCCCTAGAGTAACAACACAGCCCTACAGTGCTCTCTCTGGGCCCCAAAGCATCCCCCTCAGGATGCCCTACTCTGGTCATCCTCTCCCAGGCCACATAGCCAGAAAAGCAGGCATTCCATCCTGACATTAGCTATAAACTCTGTTCTCTACTCAGGCCCTGACAGCTGCCGACCTGAACCTGGTGCTGTACGTATGTGAAACTGTAGACCCAGGCCAGGTGTTTGGGCAGCCACCTTGCCCCCTCTCCCAGCCTGTACTCCTTTCACTCATCCAGCAACTGGCCTCTGAGCTTGGCACTCGAACTGACCTCAAGCTCAGGTGAGTGGGCATAGTCAGGGACTAGGGCTGTGGTGAAGGGCGGGGAGCAGTTCAAAGCAGCGACTCCCACTCCTGCCTGACTCCCCTCCTTAATTTTCTTCACCAATCCCCTCTGTCCCCACCTATCTCAGGCTTTGAGGCCTCCATTATCAGCGTCTGGGCCTCATTGCCACCAGGGGGCACTCCTCTCTGCTGGAGGTCACCTGTAGCCTGTCCTTTTCCTAAACCCCCAGCTACCTGGAAGAGGCTGTGATGCACCTGGACCACAGTGACCCCATCACTCGGGACCACATGGGCTCCGTCATGGCCCAGGTGCGCCAGAAGCTCTTCCAGTTCCTGCAGGCGGAGCCACACAACTCACTTGGCAAAGCGGCCCGGCGTCTCAGCCTCATGCTGCACGGCCTTATGACCCCCAGCCTCCCTTAGCTCAGCCTGCCTTGCCCAGGATGGGGTGGCACTGAAGGTCAGCAGACAGGCCTAGGCCAAAGCAGGGTCATGTCTGCCCTTTACCTGCTCAGGCTCCCACCTCTGGCGTGTTTGATGGGGATAGCACTGGCTATGATCTATAGGTTGTGGTAGCCAGCAGGTTTAGGCTGGGCCCAGGGTGGGTATTGTGCCTTCTTGGGTTCTGCCATGCCTGGAGCATGACCCCTGAGATTATGACACCACTTTAGTTGAATTTTCCATGTTCCTTTTTACCACCAGTTTTGTTCTTTTTGTTTTTGAAAAACATTGAGAAATTCAATTAAATGCTTTTGGAATAAAATGGAGTATGTGTATGCTTTTCTTTGGCATGACTTTGATAACTGCCCTTTGTTACCTGCCCCCTCTCCTGGAGCTCTGTCTAGGCCAACCCACCCCAGGGCCCTGGACACCCACCCTCATCTGCCCAACTGCCTTTCCAGATCTCCGCTCTCCATCTCTGAGGCAAGGCAAGGGCCCTGGGATCAGCTCAGCACCACCCCGAGCTCCTGGGTTCTCCTCTCTGGAGTCCCTCCCTTCTTTGCCTATCTGAACTGGGGGGCGGGGCTGCTGGCTGGTTTGAGCTCCACCCTCAGCCCCCATCCAATCACAGTTCCTCCTTCTGGGGGCTGGGCCGAAGGGCTGCACTCCAAGCTGCCAGCTCTGGCACTAGGCTCCCAGCCCAGGGAAGATGTGCTGCCGCTTCTGTCACCGCTGGCAACCGCCCTGTGCACTGGGGCTGTTGCTGCTGCTGCTGCCGCCCCTTGGTGAGTGCCGGCGTGCTGGACCCAACCCAGTCCACACACCCCCTCCCCAGGCTGGGTGTAGGTTGTGTGGGAGCTGAGGCACAGCCCTCCTGAGCGCTGAGAGTCAGGGTGGAGAGGAGGTGAGGGCTCCAGGGAGGGATTGTGTGCCAGTGGCTTCAGGATGTAAAGTGAGGGTGGGAACTGAACCCTAGTTTCGGAGGGAAGAACCCCCAAATTCCACAGTCCCCATCCTGATAAGGGGAGACTTGACCTCTTGCGGGACTCCCAGACCAACCGTGGGATCTCTGAGGTCCTCTCTTAGGGTCGAACCTGGATCCCAACCCCCTCTATTCTGCCCTACCCGTCAGAAAACACCTGTCTCTGGGGAGGGGATGGAAAGGCCAAACAAAGATTGTCTAGGCTGCAGAGAAACTGGAAGTTGCCAGGGGACCTGCCTCCTTTCACCATGTACATACTCTCATTTGGACCATTCTCACCTGACCTGGGACCCAGCAGCTCGGAAGAAGAGCCAACTCCTGGGACGAGGCTTCTCCTTCCCCCATCCCCACCTATACTGTCCAGGTCTGCCTAGAAGGGGGCAGAGGCAGGTGGTCCCCAGATGTGCCCCTTAGTTCCCTGGGGCACCCCTTTCACGCTGAGTCACGTCCCCAGAATGCTCCCTGGTAAACAAGCCCCTGGGGTTTGGCGGCGAGGGGCGGGGATGGTGAGGGCACGCCACCTCATCCTATCAACTATTCTCCACCCCCACCCCCAGTCCTTGTATCTCCCCTGGCAGCAACTACAGCGGTCCCAGGCCGCTGTGACACCATATACCAGGGCTTTGCCGAGTGTCTCATCCGCTTGGGGGACGGCATGGGCCGCGGAGGTGAGCTGGAGAGCGTCTGCAGGTACGGGCAGGCGTGAGGGCAGCAGCCCAACCCCACACCCTTGGGGTCTGAACCTCTTCCCTCCCATTCCAAAGCCCCCTGCCCCACCTGATTACCCTAACCCCACACCCTTGACAGGTCTTGGAATGATTTCCACACCTGTGCCTCGCGAGTCCTGTTGGGCTGCCCTGAGGAGGCCGCCGCCGTGTGGGAGTCACTACAGCAAGAAGCTCGCCGGGCCCCACACCCAGATAATTTGCACACTCTGTGCGGCACCCCTGTACGCCTTCAGGAGCACGGGGCGGGCCCAGAGACCAACCAGGAGACGCTGCGGGCGACAGCGCCAGCACCCACTCGGGTCCCCGAGCCCCCTCTGCTGGCGGCTGCTTTGGCACTCGCCTGCCTCCTGGGTCCTCTGGCCTAGCCGGTCTGGCCGGGTAGCAGCGTGTCCCCCCCCCCCCCCCCCCTGCCCCCCCCACCCGCCCTGTCTCGAAAGCGCTCGGCTTTCATTAAATGTATTTATATTTGTACCAAGCTCCTTCCTTTCTTTCCACTGTGGCCCACCTGGCTGGGGTGGAGGCCTCAAGAAGCTGATCCCCAGGACGAGATGGGCGGGCTGAAGACCACCATAGGGGACTCAGTCTTTCTCTTCACAAACACTCATTTCCCAGGGGCAGTGCAGAGCTTTCCATTGCCAGCAGGTTCCAAGACTTCTGGTGGTGACCCAAGATGTGTGGGAATGCACATATTTCTCTGTTCTCCTGGGCTGGGAGAACTCCTAGCCCTACCTGCCCCTCCTGTCCTGGCCCCTAGGGGCCATGTGAGGTGATAGAGTGTCCGCACCCCCACCCTCAGCCAGTCCACCCCCCTCCCCAGGTTCTTTCCAGTTTCCAGGCTCCTGTCCATCTCACCTCCTCTTCCCTCTGCTGAACTACCACCTTAGCCTTCAAGACACAGTTCAGATTAAGTACCCTTTCCTCTCCTTCTCTGGGGTCCTGATTAATCTAAGGGGAGCCTGTTCCAGAAGATGGGGAGCCCCCATTGGAGTCTACATTCAAGTACCTGAGGTGACCTGGAGCTGCAGAAATTGGGGTCACGATGAGGGTTCCTCTGGCCTTACGCTCTCCACAAGCTTGTTCTTTGAGAAGAGGTGTGCAGCGTGAGGTCAGAACAATCCCGGAAGGCTTTCTGGAAGCACAGAGGAGCCCCAGTTCATCATGGTGGAGAAGAAGAGCAAGAATCAGAACGGGCAGAATCCTGAGGGAAGGAGGAGGCCTCAGAGAGGGTGAGACCCTCTATTGATCAGTCATCTACTGTCCCTGCCAGGACCCTCTTCCAAGCCATCACCCCACGACTTGTGTGGGCACTGCCATGGCCTCCTCACTGGCTTCTACTCTCACTCCCTCCACTTTATTCTCCATTTTCTAAATTGAAAAACTGATCCTGATATTAAACTCCTTTTCATTGTCTATAAGGCCCTATGTAAGCCAGCTATGTTTATATATAGGACATTTTATTCAGTCTACTCCTTCAACTCCCCCTCTATAGTAGCACAGAGGAGTGATCTACCTACTCAGTCCTTGGGTTAAGGGGAGGTTTCAGAGAAGGACCATGATAGAGGGTGATAGGAGGTAAGGATACAAGACTTACAAATGGTGGAGGAGAACTGGGGCTGAGTTGGAGAGGACTTTACAAGAGGGGCCCAGGCAATCAGCTGGGAGGGGAGGAGTGGTGGGAGTCCAGAACTTGGCAGGCCAGGTTTGCACTAAAGCCCATGCTGGGAGGTTGTTGGCCCTAGGACAGAATCAGGCCTGATAGGACGCTTGACTAGGCTCCAGGGTGACAGGTGCCTCCAGAGACCTCCACCCTACTTTATCATGTAGGAGCCCTACTTCAGCAACGCTTCCCAAACACCCTCCCATTCCAGTTAGCTAAGATGCCTCAGTTAACTCACTCTCTGCCCTGTCTTTTCTCCTGTACTTCATTCACCTGTATTTTTATCCCCACTTCTCTCTCTCTCATCCATTCCTTACCCATCTCACATCACCTGAAGGAGAAGGTTCAGGAAAAAAACCCTCCCAGATCCACCCCCTTTGACCACCAGTATCTTCCAGAAGGAAAGGCCAGCCTTTTATTCTTTGTACATCTATTCTCTGTGCTCAGAATAACCTTCCTCATTTCCTCCTGGTGAACTCCTACTTCTTGTTCAGTATCACCTACCGCCTCCCTAATCCTGACTCCAAGCTGAATCAGAAGCCTCCTTCAGGTCCACAGAGCTCCTGGGCTTTCTTCTGTCTCTGTACGGATAACACTGGTTCACTGGCTTCTTACTGTCTGGGTCTAGGTCAGAATTCCCCACTCTGGATTCCCCAAGTGTCCTCTTTGTGTCTCTAGCACCCAGCCTAAGGCTGGGTATAAAGAGTGTACTTGTGGGAGTGCGTGAAATGAAAAACAGAATTGCTAAATCCTGCATAGGAAGTGTTACAGTCAGCAAAAGCTTGGACTGAGAATGACTTCAGTATGGAGGATGTGTCTTCTTGGGGCAGCCCTCTTAACCTGAGCATACTATTTGGAGGGATGGTGCTGGGGCTCCAAACCCCAAAAGTCTTTCTAGAACCACTCTTACTCTTGGTGGGTGGCCAGGAGCAGGCCGCTTCCAGGAGCAGGGGCTCGATTGTGTTGGCCAGCCATCAAAGGGATTACCATCCTCCTGCTGTGACCTACTTTCCCCTGGTTTTTGCCCCCTAAGTCCCTGCTCTTCCCTGGAATTGAGTGACCTGGAGTGTGTGCAGGGGGGTGGGGTTGGGGACAGAATCTGCTCTCTGGCCAGGGGCTTAAGAGCTTTGTGTGTTTTATCCCAGAGCTGCAGGAAAGGGGTGGGCAGAGAGCCAAGTGGGCTGAGCCCTAGACACAGCTGCCCAGGCTAGAGCATCATGATAATGGTGCTTCTCATGTTTGCAGCTCTGCAGACATGGAACAGCTTATTGTTCAGGGGAGAATCTGGGGGTTGGATATCCTGAGCCCAGTCCCCTCTGCATCAATATACCTCTTCATCTCAGGGCCCCCGTGTTCTTCACCAGAGCCCAGGCCAGCACCTTCCATAGCAAGGGCTCAATAAACATTTATTGAATTAATTTGCTGAATGTCTGTAAAATAGAGGTGTTGTGTGGATTTCTAAGCCCCATCAACCCTGGAATTCTATATTATTTTCAACCCTCACAATAACTGTGAGGTCAAGACTATGATCCCCATTATACAGATAAGAAACATGAAGCTTAAGGAGGGGAAGATGTCTTGCTTAAGTTCAGTTCACACAACTGTGGAAGTGTCAGAGCTGGGATATGATCCCAAGTTTGATTGGCCCCTAAGTTCATTCCCTTAAGCATCACACTAGACATATGGAAATAATTTTTTAAGTTTTCTTTTTCCTTTTTATTTATTTTATTTTTGGCTGAGTGGCCTGTGGGATTTTAGTTCCCTGACCAGGGATTGAACCCACGCCCCCTTGCAGCGGAAGCATGAAGTCTTAACCACTGGACCACCAGAGAAGTCCCTAAAGGTTTCTTTTTTAATAAAATCTTTTATGAAGCCCTACTACATAAAACAGACTGTGATATTTTATTGGTGTTAATATATGTTTAGGTTTAAAGTATACCATTAGCTTATACAGTTAAAGACAATTCCATGTATGAAGTAAGGGCTCAATAAAGATTTTAAGAAATGAACAGACTGCAGTGAGGAAGATGTATGGAGATTACAATCCCATCATCACTCAAAAGTAGTTGTGGCCAGGGGGGTTAAGGTGATGGACTAGAAATCCATTGGGGTTTCCCTGCGCAGGTTCAAATCCTGCCAAACTATGCCACCTTTCCCTTATGGTGATCCCTATTGAGTCACAGCCAGTTGGGGAAGAATGCTGTTGCCTTAAAGAAAGAAACTGGGTTGTTCTCCAGCCCTGCTCTTTATGGTTGCTCAGTGAAAGACTCCACCAAGCACGTGGATTGCGCCCCAATAGTAAATATAAAGTAAGTAATAAAAATATTATTAAAGAAGGAAAAAAAATCCCCTTATTGAGACACTTATTTCCCCCCCATCTCCACCCCGAATCTGGGTTGATTGTAAAGTTAAGTGAGATAATTCTGACCCTATAGCGGAATTGTTAATGGTAACAATTTTTCTTTAATCTACTTGTTTTGCAGCCTCAGGATATACTAAATTTAGTAACAATAAAAACAACAATAATTAAACTGTTACTCTGAAGTTGGCCCCAAACTAATCTCACCTATTTTCGTTAACCATTTGCAACTCCAATGTGATGGAGGTAAAATTCAACATATCTGGGTGCCTGAATTATTTTAATTTCAGTTAAAAAAATAATTTGTTAATTAAATTTACACCGATCCTTTCCGGAGTTCCAGAGGCACTTCCAGAAACCTCCTGAAATGCACTACGTCCCCAACCACGCACTATATTATTATTTTATTTTTGGCCGCGCCCCGCGGCATGCGGGATCTTAGTTTCCCCACCAGGGATAGAACCCGTGGCCCCCGAATTGGGAGTGCGGAGTCTTAACCTCTGGATCTCCATGGAAATCCACCCAACCTCGCACTATAAAGCGCCCTGTCCCCAGCCTGAATCTTGAAACTTTCTCCCTACTTCCCACGGTGCCTACCCCAAACCTAAGGTCGAGACACTTGGAGCGACACAGAGACTCACCTCCTACTCCCGAAGAGAGCCCGACCCCGCCCTGAAGGCGTTGACTGGCAAGCCACGCTCGGAGAGCCGCCAACCACGTAGCCCGGCCCTCTCGAGTCCGCCCCTGTCCCGCCCCGTGGGCGGCCCGGATTTGTTTTGGCGTCAAGAGCGCGCTGTGATGACGCCACGACGCTGACGCTGAGGATGGCGGCGGCGGCGGCGGCGGTGTTGGTGGTCGGGCCTGTGTCCGCGGCCCGGAGAGGGTCAGCACAGTCGCCCGGACGCCGAAGAGCCCGCCGCCCGCGCGAGGTGAGGCGGCCCGGCCAGGACCGACGGCCCCATGGGCGGGAGGGGCTGACGAGCTGCAGCCACGGTCGCTTCCTGGAGCACTGGGCCCGTCCCTGCCCAGCCCAGAGCCCTCGGCCTGTGCCCGCTGCGCCGGGGCCTAGGGGGAGTGGGTAGCAGGCCAGGCGATAGCTGCTTGGGGTCCCTGGTGTCCGAGGCTTGACTGGCCTTGAAACATGCTGCTGCGCTGGGTAGCCCGTCTCTGAGGCCCCAAGGGCCAGGTGGACGTGGTCAGCTGTCCTGCCAGCTGTTCAACCAGTCGACATCGGTCAGGGTGAACCAACCTGGTTGTCCTCACTACCTTCTCGTGTCTGGCACCTACTCCACACCTCCTCTTTTGCTACTGAACGACAGGGTCGGGGGGCAGCTAGTCTCTTCCTTGTTCAGGCTGGGGAAAATCACACCTGAGTCCAGCCGGGTCGCCTGCTTTGTAACCCAGTTATCCCTCTGCTTTTATAAGGGGAAGCCCAGCTCCCCCACGCTCACTCCCTCTCCTGAAACTGTGAAGTGATAATTCCCACTTGAAAATCTGAATAAGTCCTTCATTGCCTAAAACTGGCTCCTTGGTACCTGCAGGGTAAAGGCCAAACTTCATAGCAGGGCATTCAGGGCTCTTCATAATCTGGCATAACCCCGAAGTTAACACCTGGGCACTTCTGTCTCCTGCATACATAGTTTGTTGTTGGGGGTATGTACATCTGCCGTTAGCTCTGTGTTTTAACACCCTTTCGCTTTAGATACGCAATTTTCTCACTTTGTACTACTCTTCTTTTCCCCACCCCCACCTCCACCCACCAGTTTGGAAAATTTACATCTGTCCTTTAAAATCCACCTTAGATTTAATTTCCTTGGAAAAGCCTCCCTTCACATGTAACCATTGACTCCTCTGTACTTCAATTCATGTGACTACTGTTGGAGTTTATTGTGTTGTGTCACCTGATGGTTGGCCTGGGGATTGTCTCTTCTGTCTGCATATCAGTGTCTGGCTCTGTGCTTGGCATAAAGTAGGAGCTGAGTCAACTGTGATGGGTTGCTGATTTAAGAATGGATATAGATTCAGCTATACTACTGAGCACATATCAGGGGCCAGGACCTGAGATGAGCACAGCAAATGCGAGTGTCCTGTTTGCACATTCACACGTGTGCATGTGGTAGGTGGTGCAGCCTTGTCAACCTGATGATCTAAAATCTCCTAGGGTGGTTTTTCAAAATACAAATTCAAGAGTTTCATTTTCTGAGATTTTGATGCAGAATATCTGGAATCTGGTAGGAATCTGTATTTTTTTTTTTTTTTTTTTGCGCGGTACGCAGGCCTCTCCCTGCTGTGGCCTCTCCCGTTGTGGAGCACAGGCTCCGGACGCGCAGGCTCAGCGGCCATGGCTCACGGGCCCAGCCGCTCTGCGGCATGTGGGATCTTCCCGGAACGGGGCACGAACCCGTGTCCCCTGCATCGGCAGGCGGACTCTCAACCACTGCACCACCAGGGAAGCCCGGAATCTGTATTTTTTTAAAACTCTCCAGGTGACTTTACTATGCTCCTTAGTTGAAAATCTTTGTCATTACTCCAGGAAACTGTTGTGTCTTTGTCCAGTGGGAAGGGCCAGCTGTGCCTTGTAGCACACAACTGCTGTTGCAGTCTCATTTCCCATATCTTGGGGAGGCAGGATGATTTGGTGGTTAGAAGTATGGGGTTTGGAATAAGAAAGACTTTGATTCAGTTCTTGACTTTTATGAGATCTTGAGGTTCTTTGAGTCCTAGTTTGCTCATCCCATAATAGGAATAATCATGCCTACTTTATGTGGTTGCAGAGAGGAGTGAGAATGCATATAAGACGCTTAGCACAGTTGAAACTTAGGAAATGGAAGCCACTGTTATTACTAATGGCTGTTCTTCCCAGGGTTTATCCCATGTCAAAAGGGGATCTCATCTTAGTAAGCCTGTTTGCTCTTCAGACTGAGTCTTGTGTAGGAAGCTACCTTATGTTATGTGATTTCCTTGAGGTAATTTCTGATCATCAGAGATAGCTCTGACAAAACTGCTTCTACTCAGGGCAGTTGCAGTTGGCCACTCCCCTAGAAAAGATGTGGATTGCTGACTCACTGGAGGGCGGGTTTGCTGAATAAGTATGTTGTCCAGGTCTAATTGCAATTCTTGTTAAGTTGTGTAAATGAGCTAAAGAAAGTGCAGCTTTCAGGAAACCTGTTTGCCTCTTACAATGAGCTAGAGCTGAGCCTCACTTGGAATGGAATACCCCAGAAGATCGTAGTTTGCCTCTTACAATGAGCTAGAGCTGAGCCTCACTTGGAATGGAATACCCCAGAAGATCCTAGTTTGCCTCTTACACTGAGCTAGAGCTGAGCCTCACTTGGAATGGAATACCCCAGAAGATCCTAGTGTCTGTGAAATCTGAACTAGATACTGGGGTTCTCTGTCACTCACAAGTTCATCGTTAAGTGAGTGAGACTTTGGTTTAGCCGTCTGTTTTTACTTTGTAAGTGTGAGCATGTTATTTGGGCACTTTTTTTTTTTTTTGCGGTACGCGGGCCTTTCACTGTTGTGGCCTCTCCTGTTGCGGAGCACAGGCTCCGGACGCACAGGCCTAGCGGCCATGGCTCACGGGCCCAGCCGCTCCGCGGCATGTGGGATCTTCCTGGACTGGGGCACGAACCCGTGTCCCCTGCATCGGCAGGCAGACTCTCAACCACTGCGCCGCCAGGGAAGCCCTGTTTGGGCAACTTTGATCCTCTCCATTGCTTCCTAACTGTGTGATGTGAAGTGGCTATAGGTGTGCCAAAGTACTGACCCTTAAGCTTTGAGATAGCTGAGAACAGCTGTCTCCATTGGCCCAGGGTGCACAGAGAAAAATTTGAGAAGTACAGCCCTGGAAGAAAGGAAACAATTCCGCTTGTTGAGAGCTGGAGAGAGACTTATTTATTTGAACTTTCTTTTCTTCCAGGAATCTTACTCAGTAAGTATTAAGCCAATTTGTGTTGGCTAGGTCATCACTGAGCTAATTCTTGGTACAGCCCTCTGTTGCCATGGCATCTCATGTGATGCTAAAGTAGAAAAATGTGCTGTTTTCATTTGCTAGAGGAAAATTATCACAGAGGGACCCCTTCCAGGCTGCCAGCCTTGAAGTGGCCTCACAGGGCATCATAAGAGTAATGGATCAGGGGACACTTGGTGTGGAGCCATTTGGACTGTAAGTTCCTTGAGAACAGAGATTATAACTGCCTTCTTTTTGTCTGTCACAGCCCCTGGCAGAGTTCCTGGCCCACAGCAGGAGCTCAGTAAATATTTATGGGTTGAACTTTGGGATTTTGGAAGGAGAACCCCAGGTACATTGCCAGAGGCTGTATTTCTGATGATGGGATAGGCAGTGGGTGGGATGTCTCAGATGGAGTTGAGGATCAGGATAAAATGAGGAGGACACGACAAACTGTTGAACTCTCCTTCTCTCAGCCCTAAAGCAGGAGTCTCTGCTCACCAGTTATTACCATGTAGAGCAGTGGTGCATAGAGTCTTTAAGAGGTGGAGTCCTGAGTTACTATATTCCAAAAAGAAGTTATAACAATTCTTATTATGAAATGGTGTTAAAAGCTAAAACATTACGGAAGTGAATAATGAACTGTGTCTTTAGACACAAACACTAATCATTTTTAAAATAATTTGGTGTATATTTGGTATAATAATTTGGTGTATATTCCCCCAGCTTTTTTTCTTATGTATATACTAGTCTATACATTTCTACAATATGTATTTATTTATTTATTTATTTATTTATTTAAAGAAGATGTTGGGGTAGGAGTTTATTAATTAATTTATTTATTTTTGCTGTGTTGGGTCTTCGTTTCTGTGTGAGGGCTTTCTCTAGTTGTGGCAAGCGGGGGCCACTCTTCATCGCGGTGCACGGGCCTCTGACTATCGTGGCCTCTCTTGTTGCGGAGCACAGGCTCCAGATGCGCAGGCTCAGTAGTTGTGGTTCAGGGGCCTAGTTGCTCCGCGGCATGTGGGATCCTCCCAGACCAGGGCTCGAACCCTTGTCCCCTGCATTAGCAGGCAGATTCTCAACCACTGAGCCACCAGGGAAGCCCTACAATATGTATTTTTTAACTTTAAAAATATAATATGTGGTGATGACTTTAAAATATAGCAATAGCACAGAAGTATGTAATGTGAGAAGTAAGAGTCTCCCTTCCTTCCACCTGTTCCCCCGACATTCCCATACCCTAGAGACAGTCACTGTCAACAGCTTCTCTTCTACCTTTCCAGGATATTTTTTTCCCATGTATATGTCTATACCTTTTTAGAAATTTCTCATTAGACATATGCTTCACATACTCTTTTTTTTTTTTTTTTGGCTGCAATACGCAGCATGCGGAACTACCCTGACCAGGGATTGAACCCCTGCCCCCCTGCAGTGGAAGCGCAGAGTTTAACCACTGGACCACTGGGGAAGTCCCTTCACAGACTGTTTTAAACTCCTTGGTACATCACAGACGTGGATACCAGTACAAAGCCAATCAAACTGACGGGTATCTTTCTTTGTCAATATATATGGATTTACCTCATTCATTTCAACAGCTGCAGAGCATTCCATTATGTGATTGTATCTTAGTTTATTTAATTATTTCCTTCCTGATGAATATTTGGGTTGTTTCAATTTTTTCATTATTATAAAGAATGGTTCCATGAGCTTTCTTTTGCAAATCTATCTTTGTGTACTTGTGGAAGTGGTTTTGTAGAATTATTTCTGAAAATGAAATTGCTGGGTCTTGTGTCAGTTTCCCTGTTTTAGTTTTCTGAACATTTATTTATTTATTTATTTTTGGCTGCATTGGGTCTTCGTTGCTGCACGCGGGCTTTCTCTAGTTGTGGCAAGCAGGGGCTACTCTTCGTTGTGGTGTGTGGGCTTCTCATTGCGGTGGCTTCTCTTGTTGCGGAGCACGGGCTCTAGGTGCAC